GAATTTTATTCAATCTCTAGAGTGACTTATGAGAAATCAGTACTTTGAATCTTTGCATTTTCTACTCAATAGCTGAAATTTTGGGGCTTTTTAAATGTCATTCATGATAATATTGTACTTTGCTGTGGAAAGATCTTGCATGTTGTTTTATGTTTTAATCCTAGTGTTAGATTGTTTTTCCTTCTCTTATGCTTGCCAAGTTTTTAAAAACTAACATTGATTTTTAAAACCTGTGGATCCAATACCATTGTAATTCTTTGCAGAATTATTTTATATTGGTTGGGTCAATAGGCCTCACTCTGAGTCTAAACATGACAGTGCACATATTTCATTATCACCCTGAGATATTCTATGGGGTTTGTTTCTCAGGGTCAGCAATGGGTTACAGTTAAATTTTCGAAGGCATAATTTACAAGAAGAATGTAGGAGAGTTCAGAAACTGCTGAACTCCTGGGTACTCAGCTATGAAAAACAATAAGAAATCATAACATCCCCACACAAGTTTCATAAACTAGAGTTTGATGCCTAGTTGCTTCTGCAATGGGACCTGCACTTTTTTCTCATTACTGTTTCCTCTTCTCACTTGACATATTGAGAGCAAAGAGCTTTGAAATGTCTAAGCATGCATTTTTTTCCTGACTATTTTCATGTAAAGAGGAACAATTTCATTGCTTGGCTTCTATTAACCAAAGTAGTCACTGGGCTATTTTTTCTACCCTGTATACGTATACACACTCTACTATATTTCTCTCTAGGTGCTGGAAGGAGAGAGCGACCCTTTGTAAGTAATTATAGTAGGGGGATATGTGCTCACTTATGATGGGCAAACATTCTGGAAATGAACTTTGTACTTTAAAAGGGGTGTACAATTTCATAGGCTTGAATATTTAGTCAAAGAAGGATCTTCCAGTCAAGTATTATGATACACACGTATAGTCCCAGAGTGTTGAAATAAGAAGTGGCAGCGGGGCTGCGTCCCCAACACCCCGGCCGCTTGGCTAGCTCATGCCCGAAATAACAACACACAAACTGTATTCATTTAAAGAACTGCTTGGCCCATGAACTCTAGCCCTTACAGGCTAATTCTCGCACCTGGACTAGCCCATTTCTAATAATGTGTGTAAGCACCCCAAGGTGCGCTTACCGGGAAGATTCTAGCCTATGTCCATCTTCATCGCGTGTGCCTCAGAGAGCAGAGCTATCGCGTCTACCCGGGAGAGCTGAGCATGGCGTCTGTCTGGGAGCAGAGCAGAGACTGACCTCACTTCCTCTTCCGCCCAGAATTCTATTCTGTTTCCTCCTCCCATCTATGCTCTAAGCTAAGCCAAGCAGTTTCTTTATTGCTCAGCCAATGAAATCAACAGATTGATATATGACACTCCCACATCACCAGAGCTTGATCAACTGAATCATGATTACCACAGTTACAAGGCAGAATGACCACACAGTAGTTCAGTGAGAACATGTTGCTTATGCAATAACTGGGTATGACATACATAGATACATACACACACACACATATATATATACATTTACATAATTATATACATCAAAGAGAGGCATCTCATTTTAATTTTCTTTTCTTTGCTAATAAAATAACAAATTTATGACAATTGTAATATCTTCATCAGTTTATTTTAATTCACTTACTCTTTATTACTGATATTGGAGCTTTCAATACTAGTGTCCAAATGTGTTGTTGTTTTTCATCTTTAGATGTTTTTGGGGGGCTGTTACTCAGCTCCCAAATAAATACATGGAGGCCTATTCTGACATACGAATGTCCGGCCTTAGTTGGCTTGTTACGGCCAGCTTTTATTAACTTAAATGACCCTATCTATATTTTGCCTCTGGATTTTTACTTTTTCTGTTTCATATTCCTTTTTTCCCTTTTTATTCTCTGACTGACTGGCTGGTGGCTCTCCACTGATGTCCTCCTCCCCTTGATCTTGACCCTTGATTCTCTCTTGCTTCTTTATTCCTGTTTGTCTTGTTCTACCTATACTCTCTGTCTGCCAGCCCTTCCTATTCTTCCTCTTTCCTTGCTAGTGGCTGTTCAGCTCTTTATTCGACCAAACAGGTGTTTTAGACATGCAAAATAACACAGCTTCTGAGAGTTAAACAAAAGCAACATAAAAGAATGCAACACATCTTTACATCATTAAAACAAATGTTCCACAGCATAAACAAATATAACACACTATAAAATAACACTCTACAACACATATTCATTAAATATTGTCTCAGATATAAATGTAGTTTTTATTTATTTGAGATGATAAATATCATCATTGTGATTTTCATGCATGTATTCAATGTATTTTCTTTGTTTTTGGAGGTTTATTTTTAATGAATTTATTTATTTAAAAAAACTAACTTTTTTCATTTTACATACCAATCTCAGTTCCCACTCCCTCTCCTCCTCCCATTCCCTCTACCTATCTGCCAAGCCCTCATCCACTCAGCAGAAAGGGTAAAGTCTGCAACCTCTGCATTTGGGATCTTCAGCTTCCTTGGTACACTGTAATTCATTACTAATACAAAGAGGTTTGTTAGTGAATGTTGAGGAGTGATAGTTGAGTGTCTTTTGTTTCTTGAACTCTGTCATATGTTGTATTGTGAGGAATAGGCTAAACCTTTAAAATTCTTCTTCTTTTACACAAGATACAGAACTAAGTACATTATGGAGAAATGTCAGAAAGAATGAAAAACAAACATAATGGTCAAGCAAACAAAATAGAGATTGCATGCATTAGAAATGAGATGAATCTGTTGATAAAATTCACAGACTATACCTCAGGAATGCTTTGTTCCTGAAGGTTGAAGCACCAAACTTGAGCATACAGAAATAAAGAGCTCAATGAAAATGAAGTTATGTAAAATTTCCATTTACAATAGTCAAAAAAGTATACCTAATTATAAAGATGTTAGAGATCTTTATATGAAAGCTAAAAATCACAAGGAAAAAAACAAACAGAATAAGAAATAGATAATTTCTAATGTTTGTGAGTCAATAGATTAAATATTTTGAAAATGGGAGTTTTACATACAGTAACCTGCAAATTCTATATAATACTCTTTAAAAATTCCAGTGACATTCTTGGCAGAAGTATAAAAAATTATCTGGGAAGCAAAGCCCTGAAAACACAAAACTATCCTAAGTAGAAAGAGAACTATGCTGGTACCACAATACCTGACTTCAAATATAGTGTATAGCCAAGGTGATAACAACAGCATTGTACTAGAACAAAAGCACAGACATGGAACACAAGATGTAGAAGGCCACAGTACTACATCTTAATGTTGCTAAAATTGCCAAAAGACTTAGGAGATGACAGTTTCTTTGACAAGTACTGCTGGGAAAACTGGGCATTCACACGTGCAGGAACAAAAGAGGAACCCTGTCTCTCAGCTTGTGCAAAGATCAGCTTCAAGTAGGTCAAAGACCTTACATCCCCCAAACCTGAAATCTGAACTAATAGATGGAAGAAAGTTTTCCAAAACCCAAGAATAGTCAATGATTTTCTGGAGAGGAGTGCAATAAGCAAAGGAAAAAGTTCAGGAGTCATAAATAGGATTGTATGAGATTTAAAAACTTCTAAACAAATGAAACAAAAACAGGAGATAATATCTTGCAACTATTCGCTTAACTAATTCAATATGGATTAATATATCCAAACCATTTAAATAACTCAAAAAGTTAAACAGTAAAAGAACAAGCATCCCAATTACTAAGGATCCAGTGGTGGTACAAATATATTTCCACTGTGGGAATCAGCATGTAGGTTTTTTCACAAATTAGAAACAGAACCATTACATGAGTAGAGACAGTTTGACTAAATAAACACAAGTGCTCAGAAATTACATGAACAAATATTTAGCCATTCGGAAATGCAAATCAGGACTACAATGAGAGCCCAGCTTATTTATAAAGGAATGACTATCATTAAAACAAACAAAAGAAAATACAGCAAATGATGGTGAGGGTTATTATAAATGATCCCATTTATGCATGGCTGGTAGGAATGTGCATCAGTCCACTCACTATGGACATAAGTATAACGTATTCTTAAGAACTTAGATGTAGAGTTGCATGTACTCCAGCTAGACCACTTGTACGCAAACTTCAAGTAATCAAAACTAGCTCCTTATAGACATACCTACTTGGGCGTGGTTAATTTTGACATTTATGATATGTAGCCTTCATATATTAAAGTTTATTTAAATATCATGGTAAAGGCTTCTCCCACAGAACAATCAACAATCTTTCCCCCAGAGGTACAGCACTATTTATCTATTGTTCCCAATGACTTATTTTTAAAACACCACTGTGTTTGAATTAGCTCATCTTTAAAGGGTGGGGAGGCATTATAATATAGTAGAGGATGCAACACACTTTAATTTAAGCACTAAGTCTTTTGTATATTTGATTTAAAGGCATTTGAATTTTTAAATTTGTCCCTCTTTAAAATTAATACCTTTAGAATTAAGTTGAGTACATGTAATCTTACAAAGAAAGATACTCTGCAAAACTATGATAAGTGTGTGATTTATTACCATTTCAAGCTTTTAAAGATATTGTTCTAAACACAGAATTAACTGATTTTTATGGCAATTTTATTTATAGGATCAATAGATATTTTCTCAAGTGACTTATTCATACCATCACAAGTTACATGAAGAGCATATAAAAGTCAAATACAGAGTATAAAAATCAGAGAAAACTGTTCTTTTCATTTCCCACTACCTCCATGGAGCCTGACAGGAGGTAGGGGAAATTGAGATGTAAAGCTCTTTTTATAAACCTACAGGAAGCCGGGCGATGGTGGCGCACGCCTTTAATCCCAGCACTCAGGAGGCAGAGGCAGGCGGATCTCTGTTGTGAGTTCGAGACCAGCCTGGTCTACAGAGCTAGTTCCAGGACAGGCTCCAAAGCCACAGAGAAACCCTGTCTCGAAAAACCAAAAAATGCTCTTCCGTCCGGACGCGGGGCGGCGAGCGGCCGGCTCCGAGCGCTCGGAGCGAAGGGCTGCCTGGCGGCCCTCGGCGGCCCCTGCCCCGGCCCGCGCGCGCCCCCGCCGAGCGAGCGAGCGGACGAGCGAAGATGGTGGGCCGCAACAGTGCCATCGCCGCGGGCGTGTGCGGCGCCCTCTTCATCTGCTACTGCATCTACTTCGACCGCAAAAGGCGGAGCGACCCCAACTTCAAGAACAGGCTGCGAGAACGAAGAAAGAAACAGAAGCTTGCTAAGGAGAGAGCTGGGATTTCAAAGTTACCTGACTTAAAGGATGCTGAAGCTGTTCAGAAGTTCTTCCTTGAGGAGATACAGCTTGGTGAAGAGTTATTAGCACAAGGTGACTACGAGAACGGTGTAGACCACCTGACAAATGCGATTGCTGTGTGTGGGCAGCCTCAGCAGCTGCTGCAAGTGTTACAGCAGACTCTCCCACCACCAGTGTTCCAGATGCTTCTGAC